GCAAGGCTGGGATGGTCAATTTGGTAAAGTAAATCCGTTGGGCATCTTTCTTTGCCTTTAGACAACAATTCTGATGGAAAAAGAGCCAAACGGGACAGGCAAAAAAAGCATAAAAAAAAAAAAAGCATAAAAAATAGACATAATAATTCATAAAAATTGAACTGATGATGTTATGATGAGTTATTTAGAAATGTCTCCAAGAGACCTTCCTGACTCCTTAGATCCTAACCAAGACTTTCTCATTGATCTGCACATTTGTCAGTCCACTGAGTGCTAGCAAACAAAATATTTTTATGTTGGCAAAGAGAAACTACCAGTTGTAGTCAAGCATGAACACTAAAGAGGACTTAATATTACTTAGCCTTGACAATTTAAAAGCCATTGTAGAGCCTCCAACACCATTTATTAGAATATTTAAGTGAGTGAATAGATCTATTTGAGCCTGTTTATATAACTGTGGCCCTGTGTGAATGAGAGAAAATTCAAATAAATTCAAACGTATGCCTCTTTAGTAATAAAGTTGTATGCTGGAAAGAGAACAATTCAAAGAAATCATTAAAAGCTCAAAGTTACCATAACATTCGTGTCCATGATGAATGTAGTTAAACTTCTGATCACAATGTACAGTTCTGACACAACACTGATTCGGAGTGATAGACCCTCGCAGAGCTGAGCGATCTACAGAATAACCAAAAGAGTCAGTAAACCCTAAAAAGTCTTTTCATTCAGTCACTTTGGGGTCATTCTGTGAAAAATAAATCACAGATGTAACTACATTTCAAGGGACATTCAACTTAAATCAGTCAAATAAAGGAAAACAGAGAGTAGACAGATTATTATTTATCACAACAATGTTAGCATAAGCAACATTTTACCTTCATACTATGAATACTATTTGAGGCAAAGGCTCTTGAGAGAACGTTCAAGATCCTTGAGAATTCTTAAAGGAAAAGGCCTGATGTACTTGAAAAATTAGCAAAAACTACTAAAAAGGTGTCAGTTATAAGATATTTAAAAGTTTTAATTCAAAAATCACAAATTACTCTTTAAATGTGACCATTTAAACATATTTTTATCATCTCCATACTGTATGTCTCTTTTTTCTGCCTCACCACTCCTTCCTCCTCCCACATTTCCACATTTCATTTTATATCAGAATCAGAATCAGAATCAGAAAGGGGTTTATTGCCAAATGTTGAGCAGGTTTACAACATTAGGAAATTGCTGCGGTGCTTCAGTGCAAACATAGTGTCATAAATAGCACTTAAATAGACATGAAAAAATAAAAGTAGAATAAGAATTAAAGTGCTACGTAGAAAGATATGTGCATGAGATATACATGAGATATATACATGAGAATAAGAATTAAGAGTGCTACGTAGAAAGATATATACATGAGTGCAGGTGGTGATCAGTGCCAAACATGGAATGATGCAGTGACACAGCGTAGGGTCATGTGTTAGTGGCGGGGACAGTCATATGGTTATTGTTCATGTGTCCAACAGCAGAGGGGAAGAAACTGTTCTTATGGCGAGAGGTTCTGGTGCGAATGGACCGGAGCCTCCTGCCTGAGGGGAGCAGGTCAAACAGACTGTGTCCAGGGTGAGAAGGGTCAGCTGAGATCCGAGCTGCACGCCGCAATGTCCTGGAGGTGTACAGGTCCTGCAGAGATGGGAGTCTGCAGCCAATCACCTTCTCAGCAGAGCGCACAACACGCTGCAGTCTCTGTTTGTCCCTGATAGTGGCTCCAGCGTACCACACGGTGATGGAGGAGGTGAGGATGGACTCGATGATTGCAGTGTAGAATTGCATCATCGTCCGTGTTGGCAGGTTGAATTTCTTCAGCTGCCTCAGGAAGTACATCCTCTGCTGGGCTTTCTTAATGACGGAGGTGATGGTGGGCTCCCACTTCAGGTCCTGGGTGATGGTGGTACCCAGGAAGCGGAATGAGTCCACAGAGGTGATGGGGGTGTCAGTCAGGATGATGGGGGGGAGTGGGGCTGTGTGCTTCCTGAAGTCCACAATAATCTCCACTGTCTTCTGGGCATTCAGCACCAGGTTGTTGTGGCTGCACCAGGTCACCAGACGTTCAACCTCCCTCCTGTAGGCAGACTCATCCCCGTCCGAGATATCAGCTAATGTTAGACTTGAATGTCCTAAAAATCACACTTTCCCTCTGCTTAGCAGCTTGATTACATTCTCGTGACATATGAGAGTTTATTAGCACATTGTCCATGTCTGCCTCCTTTCACAAAGTTTCACAGGCTTCTCAAACAGACATGGATGCTTCACCCACTGTTTCAACAGCAGATGCAAACAGCGGACTGACCACCGACACTTATTATGAATAAACAGCAGCCAGAACATTTAAGGGAAAATATTTCCTTAACATATCCATTTAAAATAATCATTTTTTCCTGATTTGTTGTTAAGTGCTGATGTTACTGAAATATCTTTTGCACTAAAATGCTCATGTACTCAAACAATAGTAGAAACTCGACTGTCTGAGAACAACATCCAGGCTTTGCCCTTGTCGGGTAGAGAGGGTCCTATTCTCATGTAATACAGCTAGTTAAAACTAATTATTGCAAATGAAAGGTATCCTTGTTACCTAAATTTGATCACAGGCTCATCTTGCAGTGATGATACCCTTTAAAAAAATCTAATATAGGCTTAACACGGAAATGCGCAAAGATTTAAAACACCTACACAAAATTATGTCTATTAAAAGAGTCAGTGTTAGCTTACTTAGCCTGGGCCAGTGTTGTACTTACGCATAATAATGATAATTCTATAATTATAATTATAGAACTAGATCTACTTCTACTGAATCGAGAAAAGGTTCCTGAGAAGAGATTTAATTTTCAGTATATAAGAAATTTGGGGCGTTTCTGAAGGTACTGTACCATGTTAGAGCATCTTAACATAGAGTCCTTGAATACTAGGCAATTGTAGAGGATGAGTTACTCTACTTTAAATGACTCCCACCCCTTATTGGAGGATTTCAGCTTCTTCCTTTGGGACAGAGGTTTGCAGCCCCTAAATGCAGGCGAAGCTTGAAGAAACAGCTTTGTCCAAGCTGCTATTTTGTTGTCGTTGTAGCAAATGACACATGTTTTTTTCTGTATTTTTTAAAAACTGTATTTATTTATTTACTCTACTTATTTCTCTATTTATGACAGTGCTTTTATCTCCTTTTTGCTGTTTTATATGAATTTATCAGTATAGTGTTGTCTAGTTTTAGAAACTGTGATTAGGACGTCTATTTAAATTTGTTGATTAAAGATCATAATTAGAGATCACAAGCTGCCTTTGATTTAGACATGTCTGATATTTTTGTAAAAACACAAAATAGTGTATATATATATATATATATATATATGTATATATATATAATATATATGAATATTTTCAAACAATTCACAATGAGTTCCATATGACATCATCATAACAGTGATTTACTGAGCAGCTGAGTTAGAACTTGTCACTCACACACTGAGAAACACTCAAACTTTCTGTTTCTAAACAATTTGTTCACTTTTTATCTCAGTCATGCCTGAAAAGACATCAGATAACTTTTTCCATCGCTTTCGAGATTTGATTCCGAGAAAACGCACAGGTGGAGATGTAAGTAACTAAACCTACTCATTCTTGACTTCTCTGCTGTTCAAATGTAAACGTTTCTGAGAGATGTGTTATATTTTGCTGCTTTGCACAGTGTAATTTTTGTGTAAGTCACTGTAGACAGAGCAACTGTCAGCGCTTCACCACAGAGTCCAGGATCCTGGACTTTCACAAAGCTCAGAGCAGTAAGACAAATGTGTTCTTTCAACAGGCAGACACATTGCATATCGCACAGAGACCCAGAGATTATGCTGTGCGACTCCCACCTTTACCTATGCAATGCGCAGACTCTCCACAGAGAGTCCAGAGAAGCTGGAAAATAAGTCCCTGGTTGGATGACCCCTTTTGGAATCAGGAGGACCCTAAAAGAAGTCTGTGTAGCCTCAGCTCTGCAGACACACACACACCAAGTGATCTGAGGGCCATTCCTTTCATTGTTAGTCCTGTTGAGATGACACCGCTCACTCCAGTTCCTCCACCTCCTCGAGCAGCTTGTCCATCGCAATTGCCTGTTTTCTCTGCTAAACATTCAGGAGCAGGTCGGTTCAAAGGTGATGCTTTTCTTTAGTGGTTACACCTGCTGTTAATCAGTTAGTTTAGATTTTAAAATTTGACACTGTAGATTATCTATTTTAATGCTAAATTACACATTCTTGCTGTCCATTCATTTTATATGCTTTTTTGAAGAAAAAAAAATCAGGAAGAAAAATGTTTATTGTTGTTTTTGTAAGATGTCAATTTGTAGTTATTTAGTTATTTTTTGTCTAAACAGACACGAAGGTCATTCGTGGAATAAGAGTCTTGACAGCAAAAGACAAATTTGGGCCTATTTTGGAAAAACTGCAGCATTTCCAGGATGGGATTGTAACCTCACCTGGACACACAGTACCAACCAAAACATTTACTGCAGTAAAGCCTTTGACTCCAAAACCTCCAACAGTTCCCATACCGCAAAAACGAGGACCTCGGCCTGGGACGCTGCTGCGCCGTGCAAAAGTCGTCCCTATAGACGGTAAGTGGTTTTCCTCAGTAACTGTAGAAGATGCTGAATAATCAAACTTTAAATTAAGAGATTTTTAAAAACATTTTAATGAACAATTAATCACTGCATCATGCTTCGAATTAGAAGAAATTACAGTTTCTTTTTACTAACCTCGTTGATTATCAGACAAGAAAGCAGACAGTCAGTGCAGTCAGAATAATCCAAGAGAGAGCAGGGTCAAACTCCCGCCTGTAGCTACACCTGTAGAGAGCCTGTCCCACAGCTTTAGTCTGCTGTCTTCAGACGACTGGTAAGAAACGTAGTAAGGAGACATTAAATACTGCACAGAAACAGTGCTGCATAATGTGGCTGTGTTATTTGTGGTGTTCCTGAAGTCGTGTTCAATGTTGTGTTGTGTAAATACAGGATTAAGAAGACTTTACGCCTGTGGGTCCACCTCCCCTGCAGCGGCACTGCAGACCACGCCCTGCCACACACATCAAACACGTAAAATAAATATTTATGCACTTTTCATTCACTTTTTGTTTTTTGTTATTTTTACACAGTGTTCTGAATGATTAACAATGGTCTACAGCCAATCTTGTGTATTATTATACAAACTTTGGTTGTAAGATTCAGATAACTATTTAATAAAAGCTAAATATTTTATATGAGAGCAAGAAAGAAAAGTATATCTTTGTGTCCCCCTTTCCCTGTTAATGCCCTACCTGGCCCCCTGGCAAAAGCTTTGCTAGATCCGCCCCTGCACAGTTACCAGCTGTCAGCTACACAAAAAAAGGAGCTTGGTGTTATTTGTCTCTCAGAAACAGTTCGATAACTTTCCTTCAACTCATTCATGTCACCTAAAAGGTAAACCTGTTTCTCCATCACCAGTTCAGCTCTGATGATTCAGTAAGGACATCTCCTGGTTTCGACTCTGTGTCACAGGTTGATCTGGCTGTAGGCTGTGGCACTTGGCCAGAGGTGGCGCTGGTTGACTCGAGTCCATGTTAGTGCACAAAGTAAACTGCTCGCTTTAGTTGTGAAGCAAAAACGCTGAAACCGGAGAAATAAAACGTGCGAGGGGAACGATAACGACGACAAGAGTCTCCCGATCGTTTACTCTTGCTGTCCTGTGAACAACATCGGCGTGGTGTTACTTGTTTGCTGTTTTCGCGATCGCGTCGCGATGAGGATATACAGTTCAAATTCAAATTAAATTTTATTTGTCACGTACACAGTCATACACAGTACGATATGTAGTGAAATGCTTGGACAACTGCTCGTGACCTAAAGAAAACAAAAAAGGAAAGGCTATGAATAAGATAGGAAATAAATATGAAAAATTAAAAAGGGTAAATTTAACTAGGAAGGAATAAAATATAAATTAAGGTTAAAAATGAAATAACTGTACAACACAAATTAGAATGAAGGGTAAATTTAACTGGGAAGAATAAGATAAAATATATAAATTAAAGTTGAAAATAAAATAACTGTACAACAAAATACACAATACACAATAGAACTATATAAGAATGTATGAAGAAATATAAATATAAATATAAATAAATATATACACAATAACAGCAGCTGTACAGTAAACTCGCCACATTTTAAACATTTTGTTGTTCAACAGCATCAAGACTGACGGAGTGTGTTTGAGACAACCTCACAAGTGTCACAGATGACACATTTGGCGTTTTTTTGCTGGTTTGTCGGTAGCAGCTCCTGAAACGCAAGACTGCCACACATCTGTTCGACCAACGCCAGTTGATCTAAACGCCAGTAGATCTGGAACACCGGCAGCCGCCTGCTTCTCCTGCCTTTGGTTTCCCTATCCATGATTGAGCTCCGCGTTAGCCACCACCGGTCATCAGCGGCCGCTTATCTCTCTTTCCCCGCATACGAGGGGAAAGAGACATACACCGGTGGCTAGCTGCCCTCTGTTGTAGCTCCGCGTTAGCCACCACCAAACAACTCAGTTATTTTTCCCACATCGACCAGCATCATCGGCCCATATAAACGAAATATAAGTCCACTGAAACACAGACTGTTTGCAAGCGATGGGGGGGTGAAAGGAGTTAGAGACGCCTCACTGTAAGCGAAGCCCGGGTGCTTTTTAGCGAAGGGTCGCTAGCCGCTGCTAGCTACCTAGCCGGCTAGCAGCAACACATAAGGGAACTTGCTAATATGGGATGTCTTGATAAAACGAGCAGCTATTTGAAGTTTACACACCTACATTCTCGCCTGAAAATATCTTAAAAGTTTATTTTGTGACCTAGAAACACTAATAAAAGACATATATTAAACGAAGTGGTGCGCCATTGTTTGACTCGGTAGAGGTGTGCTATGAATTGTGGGATATGGAGTGTTCCACCAAGCATACACCCTTGCGGTTACCGTAACTATTCAATGGTTCGCGCAACCTTAAAAATTCCAATGGTTCCTGAAAGCAGCGACGCTGTGCGCGCCATTGATATTGTCGTCATTACGGTAATCCAAATACGGGTAGACAGGCCGTACCACTCCCGACATACCACTAGAGAGAGCCAACACACCACAAATGAAGTTTGAAATCTGTTTCTATGGGGCCAAAAGTTGAATCTTTCTCATGGGCCTAGAAATGGGCCAAAATTTGCACTAAAATCTAAATATTTAAAAAACTATAAAAGTCATAAACACCAAAAGTCATAGCATACTAGTCCAGACCCAGCCGCACAAAATGATATAACATATGTAACCCTTGTCTCAAAACTGTGCGGCACATAAGCGCGGGAAAATTTTCACTAAAATATTAATATTTAAAAAACTATAAAAGTCATAAACACCAAAAGTCATAGCACACCATTCCAGATCCAGCCGCACAAAATGATATAATATAGTGAACCTTTTTAGGCGGAAAATAGGAAATAATAATAATAATAGGCACACTTAATAAGAATAATAAATCCGACGAATAGTAATAAGTGTGCCTCTTGGCATAGGCACACTTAATTATTATACAATAAAGCTAACTATGTGTATCTTTGGGGGCTTGAAGTTCAAAAATATCATCTTTGCTTGTTCCAGTATGATTAAAAAAAAGCCAACACATGGGATGTAGTTATTCATTCACATTCCTGTTTTCCAGTTTGTATAATGTAACTTTTCCCGGTTTTCCACCGCAATTTTGTCTGACATTGTCAGTCAAGGCTTAGGAATGTTGGGCTGTCCCCCAGAATGTGCTATCACATTCTTCTCATGCACACACGCAGACAGAATGGCAGCCAGTAAAAGCCTTTTTCCACTCAAGGTGAATTAGGCTGAACAGTGCGGATCTAACAGCAGCCTGCAACGAAGGCTTTTAGTGGGTGTTTATAAAAACTGTCATAAAAAAAGGAGAGGAGTAAAGGTAAAAGACAGGTGAAGAGAAAGCAGGATAGCCAAAAACAGAAAGGACAGAAAGAGGGTGGGAGCTAAACGAGAGGAGAAAAAAAGAGGAGATGAGGGCAGGAGAGGTAGGGAGGGAAATGGGGAGGAACAGAGAGAAAGCAAGCATGTGAAAGACACAAGAAGGGAGAAAAGAGAACCCAGTGGTAGAAAAGAGGAAGGGAAAGATAAAGGAGGAATGAAATTAGTTAAAGATATGAAATAATGACTAAATGTCTTGAGGATAAAGATGAGAGAAAGGAGGAAGCAGTACTTTAGTGGTGGCTAGGAGCAGGATAGAAAGAACATGCGATGGAAGAGAAGAGGTAAATATGATGGATAACATTTTCTAAGACACCGAAGTACTAGTGACATTGCCTTCAACATTACTTGGGAGTTCTGCAAGTCAGCCTCAGACAAGGTTGATCTGAAGCAATGCCAATGCTTGGGTAGATGCCCAGACTTTATAGAACGCAAGACAAAATCACACTTTAAAGGGATAGGTCACCGAAATTACAAAACATTTGTTGTCTTACTTCCTCCCAGCGCTCCGTGACTCTGCATGATAGTACTGTTCAGTGATGCTAACTGTTGGAAAATAAGATAAACCATGAACATTACACAACACTGCACTAATACGGAGGGGCAGCATTTTCATTGGACAGCAGTTCCAGTAAAAAACAGCTGATAGTAATGTGTGTAGATTATTCAGAGTAACCCTGACATTAAAAGACCCTACTGTTGGAAATGTTTTCACCATTGAGGAACCCCACATCTAGTCAAATACTATGCACAAATCTATCAGATTTATGGATCAGTTTAATGTACAAATGGATTCACATATGTAAGGAAACCAGAAAAATCAGGCTTGTAAAATTTCCACTTACTATCTCAACCAGCTGCTGCACTGATCAACCAAAGTTTTGCGCAGACATTTCTCTTTCCTGGGATGCACACTCGTTTTTATTGTGCAAATGGAAATAACACTGACAGTTCAAAATTAATCCTCAGATGAGCCCTGGGCATCAGAATATGATTTTTCTTTATTTTCTTTATTTTTGTATTAAATTGTTCTACCGAGTTTTAACAATCAGGCAACAAAGAACATAACCATCCTAACACATCACATTATACAGGGAGTGAGCATCGACCCACCCCAAGCAGGTCGCAGACAGGCCCCAGCCCCCCAAGCCAGCCTCCCCCAGCCAGAAGAACAGACAACCCCGAATACCCACAGAGTGCAGAATTATTAGGCAAATGAGTATTTTGTCCACATCATCCTCTTCATGCATGTTGTCTTACTCCAAGCTGTATAGGCTCGAAAGCCTACTACCAATTAAGCATATTAGGTGATGTGCATCTCTGTAATGAGAAGGGGTGTGGTCTAATGACATCAACACCCTATATCAGGTGTGCATAATTATTAGGCAACGTCCTTTCCTTTGGCAAAATGGGTCAAAAGAAGGACTTGACAGGCTCAGAAAAGTCAAAAATAGTGAGATATCTTGCAGAGGGATGCAGCAGTCTCAAAATTGCAAAGCTTCTGAAGCTGATCATCGAACAATCAAGCGTTTCATTCAAAATAGTCAACAGGGTCGCAAGAAGCGTGTGGAAAAACCAAGGCGCAAAATAACTGCCCATGAACTGAGAAAAGTCAAGCGTGCAGCTGCCAAGATGCCACTTGCCACCAGTTTGGCCATATTTCAGAGCTGCAACATCACTGGAGTGCCCAAAAGCACAAGGTGTGCAATACTCAGAGACATGGCCAAGGTAAGAAAGGCTGAAAGACGACCACCACTGAACAAGACACACAAGCTGAAACGTCAAGACTGGGCCAAGAA